GTCCTCCACATCCTCCAGAGCCGACTCAGAGGGCCCCTCGCTGTCGGAGTCTGGTGGCAGCTCCAACGGCACCTGCTGGGCCACAACAATTACCTATCTCCTCCCACTTACAACTATAACCATGTTGCTTGTATCTCTATGATTTATATTGTTTTATTTGTTTCCTGGTATGATTTGATTCCTTAGTAGTAACCTATGACTATCACTAAGTGTTGTATCTTATGTTTCTTGATGAATGTATTTTTTTTCTTTTTATGTACACTGAGACAAATTCCTTGTGTGTCTAATCACACTTGGCCAATAAAGAATTCAATTCTATTCTAAAAATGCTCTTTCTCCCCAAATTAATAAATGGCCCTTCCATCGTCAAGGATTTTAGCTATGAAAATGGACTTGATAGAACAATGTTTAGTTTTGGAAGCATCTGTAAAAACTAGGTTTATGTTTTAAGAAAAAAACAACCTAGTTTTAACCATATTTAGCTGTAATGGCGAACCTATGGCACGCGTGTCAGAAGTGGCATGCAGAACCATCTGTCCAGGCACGCAACCATCACCCATTGCTCTTCCAGGTTCCGGCATGCCAGCCAGCTGGTCTTCACATGGACGGGAGCACTGGAAACCAGAAGAGCAGCTGCCTGGTGGAAGATGAGCCTGTTTCTGGCGCATGCATGCAAACCAGCCAGCTGGTCTTTGTGCATATATGCCTGCCAGAAACTGGAAAACCAGGTGGCCGGCACGCATATGCACACCGAAAACTGGAAGATCATCTTCCTGGTACGTGCATGTGCAACTGCTCTTCCGGTTTCTGGCCCGTGCATGCACATCATCCAGCTGGTCTTCATGCACCAGTGGTAAGATACAACCGGTACTCCCCGGTACGGTTACAGGTACCGTTCCGGTACGGTGCTCCGGAGGGCCCACCCGCCTGCCCGCTCTCCTTACCGCTATTTCAGCAGATCGGAGTATTTGCGTACATGCACGTAGTCTACAGCTCCTGTGCGACGCTCTGCTGAGCAGCTGGAGCATCACGGGCAGTGGGTACGCATGCGCGCACTGCACTTGTGCACGTGTTAGCCGCCTGGCCCCGTTGCACCGTACTGGTTGCAACGGGATCCAGAACCCACCACTGTCGTGCACACATGTGTGGCAAGAATCTGGAAGACCAACTGGCTGGTGCGCATGAGTGTGCTGGAAACCAGATCATTTTCCTGCTGTGCGCATGAGTACCAGACTGATGCTCTTCCAATTTCCAGCACACTCTCCGATTTCAGCACTGATGATATATAGTATTTCTAGAAATTATTTCTGAATTGAAAGCAACAGTATGGTAGATCTAAAACAGATGGAGGAATAAGACTGTTCAATAGTGATAAATTTTGTGGGTTGAGAGATGACTGAGGTAATAATTTATGCCATTATGTCTATTCTACATTATCACCGAATTTAAGTCACTACAGGCAGTTCTCAACTTACAACTGTTCGTTTTAGTGACTGTTTGAAGTTACAATGGATTGTGACAATTGTTCATTCTTACGACTGTTGTAGCATTCTTCCTGATCACGTGATCAAAATTCAGACGCTTGACAACTGACTCGTATTTAGGACGGTTGCAGAGTCCCTGGGGTTCATGCGATCCCCTTTTGCGACCTCCTGACAAGAAAAGTCAGCCAGATTCACTTAACAACCAGGTTACTAACTGAACAACTGCAGTGATTCACTTAACAACNGATAGATAGATAGATAGATAGATAGATAGATAGATAGATAGATAGATTGATTACATACATTTCTTTTTCTTTTGGGAGTGGGGGAATTCCTTCAAGTGAGGCTTGACTCCTTAGCAACTACATGAACAAGTCTTCCTGGCACCAGTTTTGGAAATGGTTTGTCACTGCCTTCTTCCTAGGGCTGAGACAAAGAGACTGGCCCAAGATCACCCAACTGGCTTCGTGCTTAAGGCAGGATTAAGATTCAGGGTCTCCCAGTTTTTAGTCTGGAGCCTTAACCACCAAACCAAACTGTGTCATTAAATAAATACCCAATATTTGAAACATAGGTTAGTGGGCATAAGTTAATACTTGCAAATGATAAAAAAAGAATATTTTGTGGGACGTTAAAAATAATTTAAGTTAAAATGTTTTAATAAAATAGTTAAAGCATGGGATTTCTATAGGTATTTTTACTTATAACTTTGACATCAAAATTGCCCACCCTTGGGTTAAATAAAGATCTTTAATATCAGCTGAGCAACAAAAGAATAATCCATGACAAAATAACTTTTATTTTTAAATACAGGTTATTGGTGGAATTCCCACCCACTGGAGGCCTCCTGACATCCTGGCAATTCCAGCCTGTGAAGTTAATCCACTACATTTCCACTTTCGACTTCTTCTTGGCTGCTTGTGAAATTGTGTTTTGCCTCTTTGTTATTTATTATGTGGTGGAAGAAATCCTGGAAATTCACATTCACCGGTTGTTCTATTTTAGGAATCTTTGGAACTGTCTCGATGTTCTCATTATCACAGTAAGTAAACCCATTTCAATACTGACCAGTTTGAAATATTCCTGAAACTTTGTAGGGAATTGCCAACTCTCAAGTCTCTGACCAACAAAGAAATGCCTCATTGTTTGTCCTTTCTACACCATAACTGTTAGAGATACCTTCTTTCTTGATGCTGCTAGGAAAAAAAGTTATATATATAAAAATGGCTGTGTGTGTGTACGTGTTCCAACAAAACTTTGGAACGCCTCGAGCAATTTCAACCAAACTTGGTACACAGATGACTTACCCACTGGAAACAAATACTGTGGGGGTAAGACACCCCTAAAACCCCTCTCTATGTGTGTGTTCTGTTAAGATACAGCCTGTTGTGCCTTAAAATTGCTTCTACTGTACTGCTGTAAAATGGCTTCTACTGTACAGTGCAGTGGAGTTGCCATGGTAACAGCTTCACAGTACTCCACAAGGAGGCTCCCTCTGATAAGGGAGAAAATCCAACATTAGAAATTACGTTTGGTCTGGACATTTCCCCCCTATAAATAATTACCCGGACAATCAGCTAGATGGAAATAACTAGTAATAACCGTCCCATGTTTGATGAATTAGTAACCATAGCTACTAGAACAGGAAGCCAGATGCTTATACTACAAAGCACTCTATACTGTATTTATCTACATTATTTATGTAGCTGCCCATTTGACTTTTCTGTTATGCTAGGAGGCTTATAATAAACAGATAAAAACACTTAAAACAAAAATATCTATGGAGTTTCTTAGTCATCCAGGTCATGGTTGTGCCAAAGGTGCTTTTTCAAAAGCCAATTGGACTTTCTGGTTTTTCTTTCAAAACGTTTCGTTTCACATCTAAAAAGCTTCTTCAGCACCTTTGAGACTTAAAACAAAAACAAAAATGAATAGACGGGCATATTCTTAATCCATCATATATACAATCAGGAGATGGTTCTCTTAGATGGGGCTAGGTTTGAGAATAAAGCCAGGTTTTCAAGACATTATGAAAGGACCAGAAGGATGGGCCACAAATTTCAGAGTGGTTTTTATCTTTTTCAATCAGTTTTCAATGCCGTTTCCTCAATTCTCTAGATATCTATTTATGGTATTAAAGATACCTAAAATGTTTTCTTCTGGTAGTACCATGTGTTAACTAGAAGTTAAAAGGACAGTTGTCTATACTGACAGGATTACAATATTATGCAGGAGCGGTAAAGTTAGTCCACTAAACTTTGTGTATGGGGTTTTTCCCCCTGTTTTTCTATTCCTAGCTATCATTGGCAGCTATTGGATTGAATATCTATCAAATATCTACTGTGGATAAGCTACTGAAGAAACTGCTAGAAGGTCAAAATAGCTTCCCCAATTTTGAACCTTTAGCATACTGGCAAACCCAGTTCAACAATGTTGCAGCTGTTACCATGTTTTTCGTCTGGATAAAGGTAACTCAATTTTTACGGAGATAATTCAAGTAAATTAGGACACTTTATAAGAACATTGTTGTTGTTGTTGTTTGAAAAATGGAATATTTATAATTTGAGAGTGGAGAAAACCAATTTGCATTCAAGATCTGTCTCTTTTGCTCTTTTAATTGTGTATCTACTCTAAAAGTCAGGAACACAGAACATTTTAAAAGTTCCCAATGTAGATAAAATCCTTGCAGTTAAGGGTTTTTTTTTAATTGCTTTCTGGCATGACATATAAAATTATTTTAAAAGCTAACGAGCTTTTTCTAAAAAGGAGCAGAAAGTCCAATCCAATTTAGTTTTTGCTATAGTTACAGGAGTAATAATACAATTTAGTAATTAAGTGTATGACAATTCATGCTATTTACTTTGTATTTATTTTTGAGTTGTCAAAAAACAATCTTTGGAATAGTCCTTGACATAAAGTTTCTTAATATTTAAGATATTATTTCCATATGACTTGTAATATATGAGAGAGCCAAGGTGGCATGGTGGTTAGAGTGCAGTACTGCAGGCTACTTCAGTTGACTGCTAGCTACAGTTCGGCAGTTCAAATCTAACCAGGGTCAAGGTTGACTCAGCTTTCCATCCTTCCAAGGTAGGTAAAATGAGGATCCAGATTGCTGGGGGCAATATGCTGACTCTGTAAACCGCTAAGAGAGGGCTATAAAATACTATGAAGTGGTACATAAGTCTAAGTGCTATTGCTATTGCTAATTGGTATGGAATTCGTTCGCTGCAATTCTTTCTAGTTGGTACCCCAGTTCTTTCTGCTACTGTTTGCTCTTTGTTTTAAACCATTTTCTTTTCTTCGTCAGCTTTTCAAATTTATCAGCTTCAACCGAACCATGAATCAATTGTCAACAACCATGTCGAGATGTGCCAAAGATGTTCTCGGCTTTGCAATTATGTTTTTCATCATCTTCTTAGCTTATGCTCAACTAGCTTATCTTGTCTTTGGGACCCAAGTTAACGATTTCAGTACTCTCCAGGATAGCGTGTAAGTACAATGAACTTCTTTGTTTGTTTGTATATTATAATTTAGATTTCTAAAGCTGCCCAACTCAACAGTTATGGTTGATGAATAAATTCAAAACACAATCATAATTCATTCAACTGGAGAAAGTAAGAACATGCAGGTACCCCTCGACTTGCAAAAGTTCATTTAGTGACTGTTTGAAGTTATAACAGCATTGGAAAAAGTGATCTATGACTGTTTTTCACACTTACAACCATTGCAGCATCTCCATGGCCACATGATGCTTGGCATCTGGCTCGTATTTATGACGCTTGCATTGTCCCAGGGTCATGGGATCGCTTTTTGCAAATCTTCTGATCAGCAAAGTCAATGGGGAAGCCTGATTCACTTAACAACTGTGTTACTAAGGTAATAACTGCAGTGGTTCACTTAACAACCGTGGCAAGTAAAACGGGGCAGAATTTGTGGTAACAACTGCCTCGCTCAGCAACGAAAATTTTGGGCTCAGTTGTGTAAGTCCTGGACTACCTATGATACACTAGTATATGCACCCCAGAAGGCAGACACAGTGACAGAAAAATCAAACTTCCTCGGCTCCATCACAAGGTATTAGTTAATAGATGGGACATAAGGGATGCCCACTCTATTTCAGGTTATGAGAAGGGCAGAAGTGAAAAAAGCAGTTCCTTAAATAGCCAATCCTATGCCATAAGAGCTTAGTTGATGACAATCAGATACCTGCATTATACCCTAAAGTTTACTGGTAACAGGCACATTTCACATAGCAGACCTGGGCACCCAACAGATCACGATACATCATGATTCGTCACGTAATGCAATTGCGTTTCACACCTGTGCCCTACAGCATCCTCACAACTGCTTACACAGCTGCATTTGGAACCAACTGTAGCGGTTTTTTTTTTACAACATTTTAAATTTATTAATGTATAATATAAAATGCAAAAGAAAATGGTAGGAAAATAAGGAAAGGAAAAGGGGAAGAGAAAAGGTCAGCATCCTGCGGTTCTGGAGCCACATGTGGCTCTTGCATCCCTCTGCTGTGGCTCCCTGTCGCTCAAAATATGCGTCACAACTGCCAATGTGTGATACCTGCCGGCACATGATTCTTTGAGCTTTTCGACCAACCATAGATAAATCCAAGAAAAGTTTCATAAGAAAACAGAACATTTATCTCAACTACATTTGCTAGTTCTGTAGCCGCTCAGGAAATAGTTAGGCACGGGAAGGGTTTTGTGTCTCCCGGTGTTTTCTATTCTGTGGAAACCGGTCCAAATGGCTCTTTGGGTGTTTAAGGTTGCCGGCCTCTGGTGTAGGGCAAAGGGTAAAAAGAAAGAAAAGGCGTTGATTTCCAACTCCCTTCGGTGCAGTTGAATAAGATAATAGCATCAAATCTCAACTTTTTTTACTTTTACATAATAATATAATCTAGCCATTTCTATAGCAACAAACCTATCTGATCGGTAAAACCCAAAATCAACGTTTCATTTTTTTTCCACCTCAAGCACAAAGTCCAGAAGCGGTTTCCAAAGTAGAACAAACTCTAGTTTTTGAGAAATGTTCAAGGTCAGCCAGATGCATTGCCCTACTCCTTATTCAAGGGATTGAAATGTAAAGTACCGTAATTCAAAAGCTGTTAGTGAATTAGTAAATGTCTTACAGACTGTAAACATATAGTCTGATTCAGACTGTTAATATTTTGTCTGATTAGCTTGGGGTTATTTCTTACATATCACAATCACATGACATGAAATATGTGGGCATCACCCCTGAAGACAGCCTCAATCAAGCCAAATGGAGACGGCTTTGCCAACAGGTGGACCCTGGAATAGCACTGGAATAACGCTCGGAAAAAGAAGTGCAGCCTAATTACACTCTGTCTTTTCAAAGGAAAGATCATATTGAGAAGTGGGGAGAGTAAGAAATACAGGTAGCCCTTGACTTCCAACCACAGTTGACCACCACAAATTTCTGTTGCTAAGTGAAACATGTGTTAAATGAGTTTTGTCCCACTTTATGACCTTTCTTGCCTCGGTTGTTAAGTGAATCACTGCAGTTGTTAAGTTAGTACCGTGATTGTTAAGTGAATCTGGCTTCCCCATTAGATTTGGCTGTCAGAAGGTCACACAAGCTGTTCACATGACCAAGGGGGATACTTCAATGGCTGTAAGTGTGAATAAGTCAGTTTTTTTCAGTGCCATTGTAACTTTGAACGGTCACTAAATGAACTGTTGCAAGTCGGGGACTAGCTGTAGAAACCAGAGAAATTAAAAGACAGGAGATATAAAAGTGACAATGACAGAACTGTGTATTTGTAAATTATCTTTGTTTTCACTTTATCCATACAATATTTCAATACTTTGTTCCTTAAATGATCTCTTCAGCAGCATCTTAAGAAATCCATCTAACCACATTGCTTGCCCTTCCTATCCTTTTCAACTCATCCACTGTCCCTTCGTATATTCATTTTGCAATGTGGTCCTCATTCATTTTTTGTGATCATACACAAATCTCAATGAATTTCCTCCTTCCTGGTCCATCTTGAATTCAATCTGCTTCCACTCATTCATTCTTGAACCTGTTTGTTTGTTTTAGTTCACACTTCTTCAACACTCTATTCCTGTTGTATTCAGCTTACTTCAGCCTCTCAGCTACAGAATGCATTCAAACACCTCATTTTGCACTGGGAACATCCTGAAAGATTGAAGTTAATTGGTAAAGAAAATTCCAGTAGCGCACAGTGCCTTAACTGTTGGCTAAACTTTAGCGTGTTATTCTCTTTAAAGCTTTACTCAGTTCCGCATCCTGCTGGGAGATTTTGACTTTACAGAGGTTGAAGAAGCTAACAGAATCTTAGGACCTGTTTATTTCACTTCATTTGTGTTCTTTATGCTCTTCATTCTTTTGGTAGGTAATTTTTTTTTGTTCCTTGATATTTTTGTTGCTGGTCCTCTTTTCAAATGGAAGTTTATTTTGCGTTATTATTTTTCAATTCAGCTAATACGAGTTTTATGCTATGTATCTATGTACCAGAAGAACAAAAAAAAAAAAGGACTAAATCTCACCAGAAGCATGTACCTTCCAAATCCTTACACTGGTAATGGGAGAATCTCACTGCTGTATTACTATACTAAAAAGTGGGCAGATTTGGCAAACATCAAATCAAAAAGGTGCAGATTCTATGCTTCTCTGTCAGGTCTAGGACAGCTTGCCATGGCCAACTCACTGTGGCCATTTTGGCATGGGACAATTTGCCACGGAACAAGAGTTACACGAATAACAAAAGAAGTGGTGGAATAGAATCATTAAAGAAAGGATGCCAAAGGAGGGACAGAATGAAATGTGAATGACAAAAAGCAAAATAATTATTTAATTATTTTAAATAATTAAATTTAATTTTTGAATTGCCCTGTGCCAAGCTGTCCCCCGGTGAGTTGCCCATGGACAGTGGTGTATTAACCGTTAAGCAGGAAAAGCATGCGCATCAGGCCCCTGGGGGCACCACAAAGTTGAGAAAGAAAGAAAAAGCAGATGAAGATTTGTACAGTATGTACAAAAGAAGGGGGCACTGTTAGGTAAGCTCCCCGTTGGGAGAGCGAGTACGTTCAGTGAAGCATTGTGAGAGTTGTGTTGGAGAACACACAAACCAGCATACAGAGACACTGCAGTTTAAATAGGCTTTTACTTTCGTGGAAAATAGAGGTATCAGAGTCTATCAAACANGATGGACGGACGGACGGATGGATGGACGGACAGAGAGATTTTCATTCTCCATAAATATATGGTAAAGGTAAAGGTTCCTCTCGTACATATGTGCTAGTTGTTCCCAACTCTAGGTGCTCTTCTCTGTTTCAAAGAGCCAGCGCTGTCCGAAGACGTCTCTGTGGTCATGTGGCCAGCATGATTAAACACTGAAGGTGCACAGAATGTTGTTATCTTCCCACAAAGGTGGCTCCTACTTGCATTTTTCTACTTTTTACATGCTTTCAAACTGCTACGTTGGCAGAAGCTGGGACAAGTAACGGGAGCTCACTCCATTATGCAGCGCTAGGGATTCGAACCGCCGAACTGCCAACTTTTGTGATCGACAAGCTAAGCGTCTTAGCCACTGAGCCAGCACGTCACACACGAGAGAGAGAGAGGGGGGGGGGAGAGAGAGAGAGAGAGATTTTCATTCTCCATAAATATATATGATAAAAGTGATATGTAATTATTAAACGGCCAAGTGGCAAGGAAAAGGAATGGTAAATGAGGAGACAGTGATCCTCAAGGCAATTTATAAGCTTTACAATGAATTTAAAACAATCCCTTTTTAAAATATATATATTTTTTAATGGCGGGCATTCAGTAGAGTCCAGCAAGTCATATCGGAGTCACTGCATTGCTGATCCTCAGTCGAAAACATTTTGCTTAATCTTTCAGTTCACTGAGGGCCCGTTGTTGGATGGACTGTACTGGGAGATGTGGTACAATAATAAAACAGTAGCAGAAAACAGAAGTTTCATCTACCACGAGAATCTGCTTTTAGGAGTGCCTCGTATCCGGCAGCTGAAAGTGAGGAATGCCTCATGTTCCATACCTGAAGATTTAAAAGATGAAATAAAAGACTGTTATGATGTTTATTCGGTGACTAATGAGGACACCGCTCCATTTGGGCTCCGGAATGGCACAGCGTATGTATTTCTTTACATTCATACAGACCAGGCTTGGGTAACTATGGCGACTGTATAACCTGTGGACTTCAATCCCCAGAATTCCTGAGCTAGCCATGCCCTCGTATACATATATGTCTTCATCTCTTTTAAGTAACGAGGCTAGAGTCGTTGTTGCAACAGTAACGGTTTCTAACAGGTCTAGCTACAGAGAGGATTCAGAATGCGGATAGCTCCTGACCAACTGACAGCTCTTTATATACCCAAGCTGTCAGTTGCCCAGCCAATGGGTGATCGGCTGGTCTCCCGCCAGCCGGCGGGGGCGCCGCAGCCAATCAGGTAACGGCTGCTCCGGCCCCGCCCGTCGGCTGGCACAGGAGGACGCAACAATCTCATATATATTTAACCAGAATTTAAAGATTCTAAAGTGGGGGTGTCAAGCTCGATTTCATTGAGGGACACATCAGGGTTGTGTTTGACTTGTGGGGGGGCAGAGTGGGTGTGGCCAGCTCAACGTGACTTGTGTCGGGGGGCCCTGTGGTGGCCTGAGTGCTCTTCCAGTGAAAGCTGGCTCCTGAGCTCCATTTTTGGCTACTCCGGCCCTGCAATCCTTTGCCAGCAAAAACGGAGCTTGGGAGCCCATTTTTACTGGCAGAGTCACTGCAGGCCGGTCCTTTGCTTTTTGCTGTCTCCTTTGCACCGCCCGCCCCCCCCAGACTGGATATGGGCCCGGGGCCTTGAAGTTGACACCCCTGTTCTAAGGCCTTTAAACAACACAATTCCATAAAATCAGATAACAACTTCATTTATTTTTGTTAGCGTATTTATTCATTCATTCTTTTCTTCTTCTTAAATTCTAGAGCCCAAAGCTTCCCAGGTAAGCCAGCTATGCAACTTTTATTGATCAAGAGTTAGTCATGCTTTTCAATAAGATAGAAGAGGTGTAGAGTACATTATTGGCCCTTAGGTTACCCATACTATAGGTATGCTTTACCAATAGGATAGTACTCCATTTTTGAGAGCCTCTAGCAAAGATTCTCTGCAGTTTGGAGAACCCTCAAATCCCACTCCTGCTGGCCCCACCCACCCCACCCCTCCCAGGAGTCCCCACGCGGCCCATTAGATACAGGTAAGTGCAGGGCGTGTGTGGAGGCTTGGGGAAGGCGAAAAACGGGCCTACCAGAAGTTCAGGAAGTCTGGAAATGGGCCCTGGTGCTTGGGGAGGCAGTTTTTGCCCTCCCGGAGGCTCAAGAAAAACCTCTAGAGCCCAGGGAGGGCAAAAACGCCCACCCACCCACCCCAGGCCGTGGTGCAGGAGGCCGACTAGGCCATACCCACCCAGCCACCAGACAGAGAACTCCTTGCTAAAATTTTTGAAACCCACCCTTGGAGTTACAGTTACAGTACCTTATTTTTCGGAGTATAAGATGCACTGGATTATAAGACGCACCAAGGTTTTGAAGAGGCAAATTTTTTTTAAAAAGTTGTTGCCCTCCGTAAACCTCCCAAAAACGGCCCACTTTTCATGAAAATGGGCCCGTTTTTTTTTTTTTAAGGGCATGAATAGCCTTCAGGAGGCTTGTAGAGTGCTCCTGGTAGGGCNCGACTCATAGGGCCCCTCGCTGTCGGAGTCTGGTGGCAGCTCCAACAGCTCCTGCTGGGCCACAACAGAAATGGATCCAGGCAACTCATACAGATACTGTACTTACGACCTCACACTTCTATGTAAACATCTCACACAGGATACTTATGAAGTAACATATTGTTTGAAAAGGGGGATCAAAGCAAAAACCACCCAAAATGGGTAGAAAATTGGGGGTGGGTGGAGGGTGGAATCACCTCATTTAAATTATGCAAGTCTGCAATTGTTAGGTCATTCACTTCTGTTTGAAACCCCGAGGCGCTTCACTGCATTGCTTGCCTAACTATTGTATCCACATAAGGAATATATCGCTCTCCTTTTTCAGGGATACACGAAAGCCATGGTGAAATTAAAATTGAAAAAAACACCAGTCGATGACATTTCAGAGAGTCTGCGCCATTGTGGAGGCAAATTAAATTTTGATGAACTACGGCAGAACCTAAAAGGGTAGGTTTGCACAGTGTCTTCTTCTTTCGTACAAAGACTAAATAACAAGTAAATGATCTCACAGTTGCTTTTAGAAGAACCACTGTTTCCCACAGCCCCGAAATGGAAGAAAGAAACAGAAAGCCAAGGAATTTGATAAGAAAAAGGAAAGAAAATGGTTAAATCTGCTTTACCATACGGTCGTTTGCAATTTCTCTCCATATCTTTCTGTCCTTGCAAACTAGTCTTCTTTGTATCATATCCATTCCCTTTTGTTTGATTTCTCACGTTTCATTTTCAGATTCTCATCGTTTCTTTTAAATCATGGGGTTTTTTTGTCTTCCCTTTACCTCCCTTTATTTTTGTGATTGGATCCTTATTTATTCTTTCCATAAACCAGTTTATCTCAATGAACTTCTTTGTATCATTTGCGTATGAAAATATATGTCCATTCTTTTTAAGTATTTCTTATAGGTATCCATAAAACATACTTTATTTCCATCCTATAGCACTCTCATCTCAATTAAGTAAGTTACAAGAAAGGGTCTGTCTCCTTGTATATTTACTGGCTTAAAGTAAAGATGTGATTACTCCACAGTAGTAATTTTTCAGGGCATACGTTTATACAGAGTAACACTTCTGGTTGCATTTAGTGACTCTGCTAATTTTATGACAGTTCTACAAAACAGTAATATAATTAAGTTGCTGGATACCGAATGCCTATGTGATGGCCCCTTATTTATTCCTAGCACAAGAAAATAATTTTTATTGAGACATTTAAAGCAATCATATTTAAAAACCTAGGTTTTACTTCCAGAAAGGGACGTACGGATGCTGAGATCGAAGCCATCTTTACAAAGTATGACCAAGATGGGGATCAAGAATTGACGGAGTTGGAGCATCAGCAAATGAGAGATGATTTGGAGAAAGAGAGGGTGAGCTTTACATTGGATGGCATGATAGTATTCTTGAAAAATAAGGCGGGAAGGAATGATTTGTTAGCCTGAACTGCAATTGAATCAGAAATAAATCTTCATGGCTATGAATGCCCTACAAAATTCTGGAATTTTATTTCTTTGGAAATTTATTTTTTGATTTCAGAGAAGCATTTTTTCCTGGTTCTGTTTACTAAGTTTGTACCAGTGGTGGGTTTCAAAAAAATTTCGAACCTACTCTGTGGGTGTGGCCTCCTTTGTAGGAGTGGCTTCCCGGCCATGTAACCTAGTGGGAGGCTTGCTGGCCATGTTTTCTCTCTCTCTGTCTCTCTCTCTCTCTCTGTCTCTGTCTCTCTGTCTCTCTCTTTCCTTTCTTTTCTCTCTCTCTCTCCCTTTTTCCTTTTTTTTCTTTCATCTCTCTCACTTTTTCTTTCTTCCTTTCTCTCTCTCTCTCTCTCTCTCTCTCTCTCTCTCTGAGTGTGTGTGTGAGTGTGTGTGTGCGTGTGTGTGTGTGTGTC